TAACCAGAAGGCTGGCGAGTCAAACCCACCGGCCACTCCTCAAACCCACCGGCCACTCCTCGGAAGGAAGGTTGGGCAATTTACTTCTGTAGTGATACTGCCTCGGCAGCCCAAGGAAGGGTTGTTATGAGTCGGATCCGACTCGATGGCACATAACAACAACAACAAATCTCCTAAACTGTGAGGAAATAAATTTGTTTGTTAAAGCCACCTATGTATGGTACTTCTACCAAAGCAGCGCTCAAACTCACTCCCATCAAGTTGATTCTGACTCACAGTGACTGCCTTGGGTTTCCAAGGTGGTATCTCTACCGAAGTGGATTGCCCAGTCTTCCTTCCGAGAAGTGGCTGGTGGGTTTGAAACGCCAGCATTCTGGTTAGCAGTCAAATGCCTCAGGCACTATGCCACCAGAGCTCCTAAAGCAGCACTAAACAACTAAGAATTGGTACAGGGAGTGGGATGCTAATCTAGTCTAAAATGTGGACATGATTTTGGAATTGATAACAAGTAAAGGCTGGAAGAGTTTTAAGCCTAAATTCTAAATTGCCTTGAAGAGATTGTTGGTAGAAATATGGATATCAAAAGCAATTCTGGTTAAAAAAAAAAAAAAAAAGCTATACAGAAAGTCTTACAGAATACATATGATGCCAGCAACAGAGAGTTGATAGAAATGTGGACAATAAATGTACTTCTGGTAAGGCTTTAAAAGGAAATGGTAAATATGTGATTGGACAATGGAGGAAGGATGCTTTTTATGCAGTGGCAAAGAACTTATATGAATTATTTTCCAATGCTTGGTGGAAGGCAGAACTTGTAAGCGATGAAACTGGAAATCTGGCTGATGAGATTTCTAAGAAAGATCCTAAAGGGGCTATGTGGTTTCTCCATGCCACTTACAGTGATAATGCAAAAGAAAAGAAATGGACTTAAAAATGAACTGTGCAAAATGAAAAGGGAACTTAAAGATTTGGAAAACTCTGTTGCACAAACTAAAGACACATATCCTAGAATTTTCGACAAAGATGTGGTTACAATCTTTTGGTAAAGAGATAAGCCTATGACTTATGGATCTATCCAACTACTACAGCAGAAAACCCATTAGCTTAGACTGAGGAGGACAGAGAAAGAATGGAGAGAAATAATGCTGTCTGCCTCTGAAAAGTGAACAGGCAGGAAACAGGCCATCTATTGTTCTCTTAAGAAAAGAAAAGGGCCATCCCTGGAGCAGCTCAGAGACCAGCAGAACTATTGGAAGGAGCATGTGAAGCACATGAAACTTCTGAGTTTCAAAGAGTAGGTCCAGTCTCCTGGATCTTGAAGAGTAGAGCCAAGGCCTCCTAGGTTTCAGAGTCAGATCTTATTGTGGAGATTGCAATGAATGTCACAAAACATAAATTGCTGAATGGAAAACCAATTTGTTCTGTACTTTCACCCAAATCACCAAAAAAGAAAAGGAGAGCAAGATCTTTGCCAACTTTGTTATGGAGTATGAGGCTGCTATTAAGGTATACCAGGAGAATGGGGCTGTTGCTCAAAGCTGAGGGGCTGGGGCTGCTATGCCCAAAGGATGGAAGAGTAAGTTCTACTGAGACTGAGGAAGTGGGGTCAACACCCAGATGGATAGAATGGGACAGTCCAAAGCCAAGGGAGCAGAGCTGCTCTCCCAGTGGGCACTGAAGGTGAAGCTGAAGCCTAGGGCTGAGGTGCTTCCACCCAGAATCCAGAAGGTGTGGCCAACATCCAAACTCTGGAGGTCAGGTCCATTGCCCAGATGGTCGCAGAGAACAGAAGACTCTTTTCAAGACTTGAGAGCTAATAAAAATTGTTCCACTGGGTTTTGGACTTGCTTGGTGCCTATTTTCCCTTCTTTCTCTCTAATCTGTCTCATTTGTAATGGAAATGTCTACATCGTGCCTGTTTCACCATTGTACTTTGAAAACAAATAACTTGTAGTCTAGATTTTACAAGTACACAGATGAAGAGGCATTTTGTTCCAGGATGGAATATGTTCAAAGTCTCCCCCATATTTGATTTTGATGACTCAGAACACGAGATTTTGGACTTGATGATTTAAGATTTTGGGGGTTATGTGATGGAGTGAATGTGCTTTGCATGTGGGACACAAGCTTTTGGGTACCAAAGGGTAGAATGTTATGAATTGAAATGTGGCCCCCAAAAATACGTGTTGTAAACCCTAATCTCTATGCCTATGGTTATAATCTTATTTGGGATTGGGCTGTCTTTGTTATGTTAATGAGACAGGATTAATATTGGGTGTATTTTGTGTCAATCTCTTTTGAGATACAGAAGAGATTAAACAACAAGGAGAAGCAGAGATGGGGGAAAAGAGATGCCAAATAGTATGAAGAATGCTTATAAGGCAGAAGCTTAGAGACAACCACCTTCCTCCAGAGCCTACAGAAAGAGCTGCCACCCTGAACTAGGAGTTCTAGCCTCCTAAACGATGAGAAAGTAAAGTTCTCATGGTTAAAGTCACCCATTTATGGTATTCTGTTCTAGCAGCACTAGATAAATACATGACTCATATGTAGTGTAGGATCCCAATTTCATGGAAATATGCAGTGTCTGCACATACACAAAGAAGAGCAATCTAGAAAAATACCCACGAAAATGTGATTACTGAATAGTCTCTCAGTATTGGCAAGTGGCAGATTTAATCTCCACCCAGTAACCCCTTCTCCTTGGTCACCTCCTCAGTTAGTCACTGAGGTACCACCGTCAGTGAAGCTTAAGCAAAGTCAACTTGTGGGGACTTACGGAAAAATATTTGATTTTCTAATTTCTAATAAAAAAAGAAACTAACTTGGCTAGGAAATTCTTTAGTTTTTCCCCTTCTATTATTTTGGCACTAGGATGAGATGCCAAACAAAAGCTGTGACTACTATGTCAAAGATAAAGTTGTGAGTCAAGCTACTATGGACAAGAGGAACAGAAGGACCTGGACACTGACAATGGTACCTTTGTGGAGTTGTTTTCCCAGCCCAGGGCTAGTTACCTCCAGACTTTTTTTTCCCCCTCCAGTCAAACTCTTGTTCTGAAATTATCTAATACAAAATAGAAAATTGCATATTCTTACACTAACTCCTCAAATTATAAGCCACTAACTTATTCCAAAGCAATATGCTGTGGATGAGTACTTCACAAGGTATTAAATAGAAGATTTTGCCTACTTATTAGACTTCTTAAGTCCTAATTCTTCATCTGTCAGGTTGCAATTTAATATCTTTCTGTACATGCACTGTCTTTTGTTCTAACATTTTGGTTCTTTTATCTGAACCTCTACTTGGTGGTAGGAGCAGGGAACTGTTGTAGTTATGCTGGTTCCTGGAGCAAATAATTCTGTGGAAAAAACCCTGCTTTTGCCTTTTACATCACACCCTTGTTTTTAGCCTGTGGATAAGGTCAGTTTTATTCTGGTTGACAGGTTAAATTTGTGTTTGATCTTTCTTGGGTTGCTTTCTTTTTCATGTCCTTCATTTTCTTCCTACAAATGAACTTCTTTGCCACTTTTCTGTTAGTCAATGTTACTGTGTCCCCCCAAAATGTGTTATAAATCCTAACCCACATACTTGTGATTGTAATGCCATATGGGAATGGGTTATGTTAATGAGGCAGTATTAGTGTAATGTATCTTGAGTTAATTTCTTTTGAAATATAAAAGGAACAGATTAAGACAGCAGAGATGGGGGAAAACTGATGCCATTTCACATGAATATCACCAAAAAGCCATGGAACAGAAGCTAAAGAGACAAGGAGCCAGCACCTACAGAGAGCCTTCCCCCAGACCCTGCACCAATTTTGGACTTCTAGCTTTCTGAACTGTGAGAAAATTAATCTGTTTGTTAAAGCCACCTAATTGTGGTATTTCCATTACAGAAGCACTAGACAGTAAGAAGTCAGGAAGCTATAGTTACTCTCTCTAGAATGTCAGTAAAGAATTTTCTTCTCTTCTGTGTAGTGACCATCTCCTCACCTTCCTTCTCTTTTCCTGAAGGAATACTTGTCCTTCTAGGTTCAATGACCTGCACTGTTACCCCTTAGACTTGCCATTCTACTTCCTGAGCTACTTCTGGGTGCCAGGGAAAGTCAACTTCTCTGGGTCTTCACCTTGTCAAATCCATTATCTCTTTCCCCATATTCCATCATTAGCCTAGCTGCCCTCCCACAGCTAGGCAGCCCTAGCACCACCTCCTATTCGTGGTTCCCCACTTCATCTTCTACCATCATCACTGGCAGAGGGTATGCACAGAAATAGATCGATCAAATTGTCAACAGCTGTGACCTGCTGGATCTTGAGCAGACTTCTCAAGAGAAAAAAGCGAAACTCTGTCTGTTTAAGATACTCTTAGTACTTTTCCTATTACTTGCAGGAAATGCCTTCCTAAAACACACGGGATTTCATTTTACTTTCCTGTACTATTTGTATACTTGATTGTAAGCATATTTTCTATAATCAAAAACCATCAGGTTATTTTCATTTTGAAAATAAAAATTATCTAACTTGTTTATATCCCACCATTCAACTATACTCAGTTTGTAAAGCCTCATCCAGTAAGAAGTACAAATAGAGTTCAGCTCAGCCTGAGAAGCTCCAAGCCTAACAATGATGGACTTATCTCTGCCTCACTAGTATCACCTCATCTGGAACTGCTGACCTTTCTAAGGCTACTTTGCTCTGCCTCCCAATGCAGCCGTAACTCCTGCCTCCTTCTTCACCTGTTGCTCTCTCTTCTCAAGTAGTCTACTGTAGTCTGGAAAAGACCAGACACCGTTCTAGAAATCAGTTGCAGTAGACTTCTTTCTTAATACAGAAATCCTACCACACGTTTTCCTTGCACTGGAAAGGAGAGGGGAGACAAACCAGTGTGGGGGAACCAGGAGATGTCATCTGAGTGCAGCACAGCCTCACCTTTGTTAGCCTTTGAATGTTCTTCTTATAAAGAGACGACAGGCACTGCTTCACCAGTCCCATGTTGTTATCGCGAGTAAAAGTTTCACTGTGCTTGTTTACCAAGTTTCGCAGTTCTGAGGGATTATTGGTTGAATAAACTTGCGCTAATTCATGGTATGCATTGCTAAGGGGCTAAAGGTTTAAGGGGAGATTAAAAAAAATCAGACTTTTATTTAGAGGAATAAAATTTGTATGGGAAGCAAAAAAAACTTTCGGTACTATATTTTAAGCAGGTATATTAAACGACAACAACAAAAAACCTTAAGGAATAAATCAGGATAGGATCCAAAGTCAATAACCTTTGTAGTTATCTAACAAACTGTAAATTATCTAGAGCAAATGCCTAGTTTGTAAGGCTAAGATCAAAATTCATTATGGAGTAATTTACTGTCAATAACACTTTCTGGTATGATGCACATAACTGGCTGAGCTGGTGATGTGCAACGAAGCCAGTAAAGGCATGCCTATCTCTTTCTCCATCATGGTTCTCTATTTTTTTCCATTGATAAATAATGGGAAGAAAGAAGGCAAAATCTCCATTATTCCCAGTGTTCTCTCATACACACGCAGACACCTCACTGGATGCAATGGGATAATCTGCTACTTTTGCTAGCAAGAAGGAAGATAGAACAAGAGCACTAACAGAGGCTAAGGGCCTACTAAGAGCTTCGGCTGCTTTTGGACATTTTATATACATTATTACCTACTTGAAACATTCAAAAATTGGGGCAGAATGCAGAATGGTAATGAGGAGCACTGCCAGCAGACAGAACCTGAATTCAAGTCATATTTCTGACTGTGAAGTATATGTTCTTTTCACCATTTATGACATCATTTTAAGTAAATTACTAATTCTTATGAATGGCATCCTCAAGTCATAAAGACCCCACTTTATAACAGCATTAATGCTGAAGCAGGTCAGCTCAGGGACCACCTGAAGGAACCAAGGGAGTTTCCCAACATACCTGAATGTGCTGCTCTAACCCTATCTGCCCATCATGCTTCCATGGGGAGTCAGGGAGGCCTCTTGATCACCCACACCACCAACTAGGCAGCCCAAGAGCCACAACTAGACTCTTATGCAAAGAACATTTGGCTATTTTCATCAAGCCAGCATGAAAATATCATCATCAGGAATCCTAACATTCTGAAATTTTGAGTTCTGTATAAGGAGATTGGGAGAAACTGTTAAAAATGACTGTGACTGCACATATCCTTTTAAACTGCTCAGTTTTAAAAAACAAAACATGAGCATGTGTTCAAAATTAGAAAAAAAACCCAAAAAAACCCTAAGAATACATTTTAAAAATAAGGTTCTAAAGGTGAATTCCTCAGTGAGACCTGAAACAAATGTTCTCAGTGGAGATTTTGATCTTCAAATATGAGGTACTTTAACATGTCCCAATATTTAGACAAATTAAAACTTTTTTTTAAAAAAAATAAGTAAATTTCTTTTTCAGTATTTTGGCTAAAATGTTATGGGGGGGAACCCAACCTACCCTTATAGGAGCTTAAGCATCTGTGCCTATACTATCCAGAGTGAAGGTTTTAAAACAGGTTCTTGAGAAACACTACTCCATTCCAACAGGTTGACTACAGGCTGTAATGGATTTGAATAGAATTAGGGAGTTTGTGACTGAACTGAAGCTCACAGAAGACACTACTGTCTACTAATTTGAAGCTGCTGGGAGGGCTAAATCACTGCAAAATACAATTACAGAATCATATTTGTACGATTTCTTTATGGACTTAACATGCCAGCCAAGAAAATCAGTTTCAAAAACTCACCTTAATGAATCTACCCACAATTTGAGATGTATATTTTGGTAGCTGTTGTACTTTGCCAAGTAATATTAAAGAAACTAGAATATACTTTTTATATGACTCCAACATGATATGACTGACCGCCATGGCAGGAGTAGTTATAGCCTGAACAAGAGAAGAATGTTTAGTATAAAGAGAGAGCACACTGTAGCAAGAAAGAGCAATTGACCACGTATCAATGATGTATCAACTTTAATTAAAAAACAATGTTCATATTCAAAGTTCATTATTATTACTTTTGTAAGAGTTTTAAGATATAATCTACATATCATAAAAATCTCCTTTTAATAAATTCAGTGGTTTTCAGTATAGTTGGAGCTCTGGTGACATAGTGCCTAAGGCACCTGACTACTAACCAGAAGGCTAGCGGTTCAAGCCCACCAACCACTCCTTGGAAGGAAGGTTGGGCAATCTACTTCCATAGTGATACCACCTTGGAAATCCAAGGAAGGGTTGCTATGAGTCGGATCTGACTCTATGGCAGTGGTTGCGTCTTTGTGTTTTGTACAACTATCATCACTATCTAATCTTATTACCCTCCCCGCAAAAAAAAAAAAAAAAAAAAAACCTACCCATTAGCAATCACTTGCTATATTTCCTCCCCCCACTAACTAATCTACTGTCTCTATAGATTTGCCTATTCTGAACATTTCATATAAATAAAATCATATACTATGTGACATTTTGTGTCTGGCTTCTTTCACTTAGCGTAATGCTTTTTCAAGGTTCATCCAAATTGTAGCATTTATCAGTACTTCACTTTTTTTTATTGACAAATAATATTCCATGGTATGGATGTACTACATTTTATTTACCCATTCATCAGTTGATGGACATTTGAGTTGTTTCCACTTTTTGGATATTATGAGTCATACTGACATGGACATTCACGTACAAGTTTTTGTGTGTATGGTGTTTTCATTTCTCTTGGGTATATACCTAGCAGCAGAATTTGCTCGGTCACGTGTAACTTTTAGAGGATCTGCCAAACTGTTTCCAAAGAAGCTGTTATCATTTTACAATTCAAACAGCAACGTATGAGGGTTCAAAATTCTCCCCACCCTTGCTATTGGCTTTTTTTTTTTTTCTTTAAAATCCTAGTAGGTATGAATTGGTATATCATTTGGTTTTCATTTAGATTTCTCTGATGATTAATGACAATGAACCTCATGATAATGAGGCTTACTGGCCTCTTGTATATATATCTTCTTTGGAGAACTGTCCATTTAGACCCATTGCACATATTTAAGCTGGGTTATTTGTCTTTTTATTATTGAGGTACAAGAGATCTTTATATATTCTATAAGCAAGTTCTTTATCAGAAATATGATTTGCAAATATTTTCACCTATTGTGTGGGCTCCCTTTTCACTCTGGTTTATGAAGGTTAAGAGGAACTAAAAACTATCATATCCAAACTATAGAATCAGCCCAAATCTTCTAAATCAAAATTCAAATCACTGAGCCTATAATGCCATTTCCTTGAAATTATTTTAGAGAAACACTTATAAATGCACGAGGACACATGTACAATGATTCCCACTGCAACACTGTTTTAATAGCAAAATACCAGAGTCAACTTAAATTTCCACAACAGAGGCCAGTAAACTAGGTCAATTTCCAGAGTGGTATGAAGAGATGAAGCTTTTTGCTTTATACAGCGCTGTATGATTTAAATTTTTTTCCCTAATAAGTATGTCTTTCTTTTGGATTTTTTTTTTTTTTTTTAATTTTTATTGTGATCTGGGTGAAAGTTTACAGAGCAAATTCATTTTCCATACAGTAGTTCATGCACATTGTTTCATGCATTTGACTACAATTCCCCAAAATGAATTTTTTAAAAGCAGTAATATAAATTGATACTATCTTCTGAAATTAAGATAGTAATACAATAGATTGTTGCATGCATCTCAGTAAAACATTAGACAATGTTCATCTTAGGACAAATTCAGGAATAAATAGGTTTATAAATACGCAAAATGTTTTGTTTAAACATTTTAGTTATTTCTAAGTCCACTGCATACCTTCCTTTTTGTCACCCACATCATCTTGATTATCATCAGTATACTAATTAGTTATTATATATTGGCTGTGAAATTAATAAAGCATCCAGTACCTTTTAAAAATAGTTCTATAGTTTTCAAAAGACCTGAAAAATTCACACATTTTTGCTTAAAGAGAAGTCATGTTGACAATTTAATATTCTAACTAGACGCATCTTTTAATGACACCATCCCTGACTACCACTTTAGGGTGACCTTTCCCTAGGTCCCTCAGCAATGTCTATTAACTCAGTCAAACACTCATTGAGGCAATGTTCAGAGCCCCAGATATGTCTGCTACAATTTCAACTAAATTGTGAGCGCCTCAAACATTTAGCATACCTTTCACTACTTTAATACATGCTCTGAATAAAACAGGAATTTACAAGCGTGACTAATTTATCTTGAAAACACAGGTATTGATCAATATTGTTTATCTTTTTTTCAGTCTCTGAGCTAATTCCAGAATAGTCTACCAAATTATATAAAATGTCTCAATACACAGAGCATTGGCTAGGGGACAAGGGTGAGAGGGGCTTTTTACTATGTATTTCTTAATACTCATTGATTTTCGAACCATGAGAATGTCTTACATATTGAAATAAATAAAACTTAACAAAGCACGACACATGGTTTTAAAACACTAAGACCCTTTAAAGATCATTCAGTTTAACTTCCTCCCTAGACAGAAGCAGCCACCAATCAGAGGATGCAGGTAGAGAGCCTAGACTGGAACCTAGATTGGAGCCTAGATTGGAACCCATTCAGCAGTGCTCTCCACACTGCTACTGCTCTTCAGCCAGAGCTTCAAACCACAGTTTACAATGCCATAGAGAAATAATCTTAAAAAGTCCCTCCACCTGAAACTCAAAGGCTTTATGTTCAATCAAGCTCCAGTTGCACATGAAAGAGAACAGTTTTTTGATCTCATAAGTTCAAAACCACCTCCCAGACATTTAGAGGTACAGTTACCTGTTCATAAAAGTAGAGTGCTCTTTCAAAATTCTTCAGTCCAGTATAGATCATACCTCCATAATAATAGTAACATAAAAAGTGCTTTGCATCATAGGCCCCATTCTCTTTGCAGATATCCATCATGTCCACGTCAAGATATGGAAGGGCAGGCTTAAAGCATTTTGCCAGCAAACAAAGCTATGAGCAAATTAATATTGAATCATTTTAACTTTGCTCTTGTCAAGCTTTAGCAGAAGGAGCAAAACCACAGATTTAAAAAATTTGAAGACTATTATTCTTTGTTTTACATTTTTCTGATTGAAGGGATTTAAATGTTAACACATTACTCCATTTTCTTAATGATTCAGAACAAAATAGCATTTCTTTGTAAAGACTAACCAGCTGTAAGAGACCACTTCACAAATGAAATAATGCTTAATTATCACTTAGCACACTCACTGTCCATCTGTCTATAGATGAGGAGGCAATGTGTCTTTTTTCTTGGTTGAACTACTAGAATAGAAATAGACCAGCAGGGTGAGATAAAAATGTAAGCCTTTTCTTAATCCTTTTCAATTTCTGAATTCTTCTGGTAGATGCAGGGAATTGTGCAACTTGAAAAAAAAAGCACATGGAAAAGTTTTCTATCTGGGTGGTGACCACATGGATGTAGACATACATGTATACTTCTGGAGTTGTACACTTAAGATCAGTGCAAATCACTGTAGTATGTTATACTTTAATAAAAAAATACATAAAAGAAAGAAAAAATAAAGAAAAAAGGTGGGGGAGAATTATTAGAACATGTGTTTGAAGTGATCCGTGTACCATGTAACTCATTAAGGAAACAATTTAAGTGCCAATACAACAAAAAAACAACACTGTCATCGAGTCAGATCCAACTTATAGCGCAATCCCTCCTTGGGTTTCCCAGGTAGTATCACTATGGAAGTAGATTGCCCAACCCTCTTTCTGAGGAATGGCTGGTGGGTTTGACCCGCCAGCTTTCTGGGGAGCAGTCAAGTGCCTCAGATACTATGCCACCAGAGCTCCCAAGTACCCAATAGGATATGGTACACCCATATGGAATACTCTCCAGTTGTAAAGAATTTATATGGAATAATGTTCAAGATTGGCTTATATGTACATAAAGTATCACTGGAAGATGCATGAGACACTAGTAACACTGGTTTCCTTTGGGGAGAAGAATTAGGTGAAGAGATTTCATTATATACTCTCCTTTGCACCTTCTAGATTCCGACCACATAAAATAAGATAAATATATGGATAAAACTTAAAAGGGTAAGAAATTTTGTTTTTCTCAGGTTCTATGATTCTTTAAAAAGAAAATGACTTTATAATGTCACTGAATTGTACATGTAACATGGCAAATGTTTTGTTAATATCTTTACCACAATTAAAAACAGAGAAATGGCTTGAGATTTCTTTAAAAAACTATTTGCAAATATTTAATTATGCTACCTGTTCTACTGACATCACAAGCTTATAGCTGAGCCCCATTCTATGGTTTGTACCCTGTTGAAAATCTCTTTACTAACAGGAACGTTTACAATTTTCAAAGTGTACAACATATTACAATTGTTACCAAATTGCTTTCATTTATCTGATCTAATGTGTAAACCCACAATCTTATGCCTCTGATTTGCTGTAAGTCACACAGTTGTCTGTTTACCTGGCACAGATCAGCATGAATTGAGGTCAACTGGTTTGTATTCATCTGCATCTTGTCTATGGCTTGTTTAAGGATGCCAATTCCTCGCAGGGGCTGTCAGAAATACATCTCTTTCAGATAAGTTCTCAAAGATGGCAGCACATTGGATCTTATGTTGTCACTTACAAATAAAAAATAACACTAATTGATAGGTTCCTTTAAATAGCAATATGAGGTTTCCGTACTCTTTCAGGAAATTTCTATCCCCATTCAGTCACAAAATTTCTTCTTAAATATTTCTTAAGATACTTAGAATAATTCAGTACTTTTTAAAAATCATTAAATTGTCATTACAATGAAGACCAATGATCAAACGCACTATTACCTTCTCAACAGTTCATCACATTTACATCTAAATAAATAAACATTTTCCAAATGCAACAGATGAGTGCCTGTGCTTAGGACACTTGTGAAGAAGGGTGCTGTCATTTTCATATCAGCCATCTGGGTATCTTAAGTATAAGTTCTTTTCAACAATAATGTCTATTACTTGATAGAGAATTATTACTGAAACTAGTATTACAAAGTTCCACACAGGCAGTTTATTGCTCTGATTTTAAATAAGACTGAGTTTCAAGTGATATCCAATCACTGAGTTTCTGGACAGGAGATATGATTATAAAACAGCTGAATACTCTGCACATTTTTTCAACAAAGACTTGACTCTTTTTTTAAAAACCATCTCTTTCAAATCACAGTTTATTCAGTAGTCCTACAAAATATCAACAGGTTCTTTCTGTTTTCAGCCTCCTTCAAACCACTAGTTTTGAAGGTTACTTTAAATCAGAAAGAAACACCCAAATTGTAACTTTTTGAAAATGTCAATATTACAAAAGATAAAGAAAGGCCAAAGAGAACTGTTCCAGATTAAAGGAGACTAAAAAGACACAACAAGGCAATGCAATTCACAATCTAGAGTTTTCATCTGCCATAAAGACATAAGCAGAAGAATGGACAAAATCTAAGTAAGGTCTGTAGACTTGTTAAATGCTTCATATTAATGTTAATTTACTGATGTTGACTGTTGTTATTGTGTTTATGTAAGAGAAATGTCCTAATTTTTAGGAAACACCTATTGAATATTTTGGAGTCAGGGACACCATGTCTGCAATTTCATTTCCAACGGCTTAGAATATATATATCAGAATGAACTCCACAGCAACCAACAACAGAGAAAAGGATAAGCAAATGTGGTAAAACAACGGAGAAAAGGATAAGCAAATGTGGATTCTCTCACAGAACCTGAGAGAAGGGTATACGGAAATTCTCTATGATATTCTTATAGTATTTTTGTTAGGTCTATAATCATAAAAAAAAGTTAAAAAAGAAAAAATAAAAAACCCTATTTAAACATAAGGGTATTAGATAGTAGTTCCAAACAAAAAAAAAAACCCCAGCAGTCTCCCCTGAGTTCTCACTGTTCTCTTTTCCTTATATACAGGCTTGTTGTCCCTACATCAAATGCATTCAGTACTCTGAAGTGACTACATACATTTAAGTGTTAGGATTCTTAGTACTAACCTGGAATCTAAACAAATTAGTCCGTTTTGCAAATTAGGTGTTTGTTAGAATTATGAATATTTGAATAACATTTCTTACCTGTTTTCTTTCCACAAGTGCATTTGTTAACTGATGGCAAAGCCCAGCAACTAGATAGAACAATAACAAAATATTGAGAATATAAGTAACTACACCATGGGCAAAATACATTCCATGGAAAATGTCAAAGTGTTATTTAGCTTACAAGTGTCTGTCGCATATCGAATGTGCTCCCCATTACAAGTACTGATGAAAAGCTGAACCTGTGAGAATAATGTTTCGAAGTCAGGAACACTGGGCATAGAAAACTTCACAAACCTAGAATAAGGAGAAAAGAGCCTAATTATCCTGGTATTTCATGGTGGAAAATCTAACTGAACTCATGCCAGAAGTATTTCTTACCTTCTGCCCCTATTGCCTCACCTTCAGTGCTCAGTTCAAATAAATGAGGAACAATATTTTTAGAAATTAAGAACTAGAATTCCTCAGATTCTCCTGGCCTGGCTAAAGCAACTACTATAGGTTCTCCACACACTCAAGATACAGAACATAGACACAATGGGATTCACAAAAACAAGCATCTTTTCAAAACAAATAACTCCACTGAATGAGGCCAAATACTAGGTCCTCTAATATTCCTAAAAGAATTGAAGATAAACTTTTAACCAAAAATTAAAAAAAAAAAAACAAAAAAAAACCCAAACTACTCCAATGTACCAAACCAAAAAACAAACCCACCACCAAGTCAATTCCGACTCATAGCGACCCCCACTGGCTTTCCAATGTGGTGAATCTTTACAGAAGTAGATTGTCCTTCTGCAGAATGGCTGATGGTTTTGAGTTGCCAACCTTCTGGTTAGCAGTCAAATGCCTTAGGCACTGCACCAATGTTGTCAATACTATTTACTCATTTAAAAATCAGTTTTAATTTTCCCTGTTCAGAGGAAAAGGGATTAAGGGAGAAAGGAATGAGAGCTGGCAGGCTGGTTTAGAGGCTATGGTAGTGTTCAGGTCAAAGACAATCCCAGGACTGAGAAAGTGCAGTGGTACTGGAGAGGAGAGTGGGGTCTATTTGGAAGGACTGACAGGCTTGTTGAAGAGAAGAATGGAACGAGTAAAGGTGGGGAAAGAGTGGGATGCAAATGGTCTAGCCTGAGTGATGTGGCAATGGTAGTATCATCTACTGCCATGAAGAACACTCATGAAGTGGGATGGAGATTGGTTTTGGGCAAGGAATCACATAAGCTACAACCATCATGGTATTAAGATGGTTTGTTTGAGACATCCAGTAAGATGGTAGAATAGGCAGAAAGACTGCACAGACCCTCTTCAACAAAGAAAAGGGGAACCAATTAACACAAACACAGAAGATAATCCTGGACCTCTGAGCCTTGAAAGGAGAGATACAGAAGTGGACTAAACCCCAACTAGCAGAAGAATTTGCGTGAAAATACCAAAAAAAGGAGACATACAAAGTTGCAGTCTGGCAGTGATCCTAAGCGATCCTGATGGCATGGCACAGACAGCTTGGAGACTGTTGAGTGGTGGTAGGACCTAAGAATTAACCTAAAAATCAGCCAAGCTAGCCAGGGACTGCATGTAGGACTGCTCTGGTGGCTGGGGAATAAAAGGTGAACCATCAGTGAAGAGCAAGTCAGGCTGAGCTGTGGACTTTTGCCTCTTCGGAGGGCACAGCCATTTTGAAAGTTTACAAGCGGCTTGACCATTTTGGAAAATTAAAGAGACAGCGCTCTCCCAGATTTGAGGGGCTTAAGAACAGGTTCTGCTTGCCAGTAACCCCAAGAACACTCTGGACCTGGACGACCAAAAGGCACAACATTCAACTTGTTACTCTTATAACCCACACCCCTTCACCAAGGTGTCATTAAAAGGAGGTGCAGCCATCCCCCACTCCCACCCACCTTCTGGACCTACAGGAACTCCATCCCAGTCTGTCTGCTCAGATGGAGCCTGGGTGCCCTGCCCTCCCCCGATCTTTTTCTTTTTTTCTCTTTCTTTTTTCTGGTTTTTAGTTTGCTTGTTTTTGTCTGTTTTAAAACTACTACTATTATTAGTATTTCTGTCCTTTTTACTATTATTCGTTATTCTTCTGCTCCCACATGCTAGTTTTCAGCTCTTTTTCTTTTAACTGTTCCTGGCTGAAATTTTTTTTCTGTTCTTTTTTTTCTCATGGTTAAACCCGTTTCTTGTTTTTCTTATTGCATTTTTCCCATTCTGTTCTTCATTATTCTCCTTCTCTAGCTCTTTTTTCTCTTATTGCCCTATCCCCAGATATTGAAGGTTTTTTTTCTTTATTTTCTTCTTCTTTTTCCCTTTTTTCTTTTATTGGTTACTGTTCCTATGTGATTACATGGTGTATTTTCTGTCCATGTGCTTTTAGTTTTTTGATGGTTATTCAATTGTAATTTTTGTCTGAGTGGGAAACAGCAACAGTTCCCATAAGACACAATAATACCCACACCTCTTGCAACTTCACTAACGTGAGCGAGAGCCACCACCTCCTTCTCCACGAACAAACCAATGATTAAAAACCACCAAGAAGAGCCTGAATCACTCTTGGCTGCTCTTCACAGTTAACAGAGATCTAAATACAACACTACCACGATATATCGGAGGCAACAGACCATCACAGTCCACACAAAGAAGCAAGATAAAGTGGTAGAAACAAGGGAGCAGGATACAGACCCAGAACACATCCCTGAGGAAGAAGCAGCAATGGAACTCTCTGATAAGGAATTCAAAAGAATTATCTTTAGATATCTTCAAAGGATTGAGAGACAGACCAAAGAAAACACAGAAAAAATCCTAGAAGAATTTTGGAAGAAAATACAAGAAAAAAATGACAAAATAAATGAAAAATTACAAATGATTCTAAATCTACAGATAGAAATCTAGAAGATTAATACTAAATTGTCAGAAATAAATAACACATTGGAAGGGCAAAGGAGGAGAATTGATGCAATGGAAGACTGAATTAATGAGATTGAGGACAAATACCTGAATCCATCTTTGGAAAGAGATAAATCAGAAAAAAAAAAAAAAAAAAAATCAAAAGAAAATGAAGAAAGCCTAAGGTTCATTTGGGATACCATCAAAAGGAATAACCTACGTGTCATTGGAATTCCAGAAAAGGAAAAGAAAAATAAAAGCATGGAGAAAACAGTCCAAGATTTGCTGGAGAACTTTCCTGATAGGATGAAAGATGAGAATATACCCATTCAGGAAGTCCAACGAAACCCAAACAGGATAGACCCCAAAAGAAAGTCACCAAGACATATCATTATCAAACTCATAAAGCCCAAATAGAAAGACAGAATCCTGAAACCAGGACGGGAAAAACAAAAAGTTACTTATAAAGGATAGCCAGCAAGAATAAGCTCTGGTTTCTCAGCAGAAACCATGCAAGCGAGAAGGCAATGGAATGGTACATATAAAACCCTGAAAGAGAAAAATTTTCACCAAGAATTATATACCTGGCAAAATTGTCCCTCAAATATGATGCTGAAATTAGGAGACTTCCAAATAAACAGAAACTAAGGGAATTTGTTAAATCCAGACTAACCTCATAAGAGATGCTAAACAGAGTCCTTTGAACAGAGAACCAAAAATAGCAAATAACAATTGACCATTACTACACAAGATGACATAACCCAGAAACCACAGCTATGGACATATCCAAAGTCAAATGAGCTTACAAGATTGTAAACACGGAACAGAGACAAAAATTGGCAAGCGAGGACAACTACAAACAAAAAAGAGAATATACAGTGGAGTTACAGAACTTCTAAATGGCGAAGAAGTTAAGAAAGTTGCAAGATAGAATGGACTGCTCTAAACTAGGGAAAAAATTATAAATCATAGGGTAACCACAAAGAAAAATGATAAACTTTCACAAATAAAAAGAGGCCAAGCACAAATATTCAGCAAATACTAAAACAACAGAAACAAAGGAAATGATAACATGATTCATAAACATAATGAGCTCAGCACAGAAATTAATATGGAACAAAGAAACCAGTGACACCATGAAAAAACACATAACAAAATGACAGTAACCAATTCCTACTTGTCAATAATTACACTGAATGTTAATGGATTAAATGCACCACTCAAGAGACAGAGAGTTGCAGATTGGATAAAAAAACAAAACCCATCAATATGCTGCCTAC